CCCAGACGATAGTTAGAACTGACTTTCTCACAGAAAATCTAATCTTAGTTTTTCACCCTAGTCTCCCTAGTTTAAACAGCTTACAAAATAGCTTACTTATTACTGTTTAACACATATTGGTTTTTTAGTGTGGGACCAAACCAAGTCAAGTCGATTTAACTGGCTATGGTATGATGTCACTACATATGAACCTTATATTGAAGAGACTTCTTATGAAAACTCTCTGTTAGTCCAACAGTCTGGTGTCTTAGCATTAAGTTCATTGACCCATGTTATGAGAAGCTTGACACCGAATGCAAGGTGAGTTAGGAATCACTGATGAATGCAAGGTGAGTTAAGAATCACTGATGAATGCAAGTTGAGTTAGGAATCACTGATGAATGCAAGGTGAGTTAGGAATTACTGATGAATACAAGGTGGGTTAGGAATCACTGATGAATGCAAGTTGAGTTAGGAATCACTGATGAATGCAAGGTGAGTTAGGAATCACCGATGAATGCAAGGTGAGTTAGGAATCACTGATGAATGCAAGGTGAGTTAGGAATCACTGATGAATGCAAGATGAGTTAGGAATCACTGATAAATGCAAGATGAGTTAGGAATCACTGATGAATGCAAGGTGAGTTAGGAATCATTGATGAATGCAAGATGAGTTAGGAATCACTGATGAATGCAAGGTGAGGTAGGAATCACTGATGAGTGCAAGGTGAGTTAGGAATCACTGATGAATGCAAGGTGAGTTAGGAATCACTGATGAATGCAAGGTGAGTTAGGAATCACTGATGAATGCAAGGTGAGTTAGGAATCAACGATTGATGCAAGCTGAGTTAGGAATCACTGATGAATGCAAGCTGAGTTAGGAATCTCTGATGAATGCAAGGTGGGTTAGGAATCACCGATTGATGCAAGGTGAGTCAGGAATCACTGATTGATGCAAGCTGAGTTAGGAATCACTGATGAATGCAAGGTCAGTTAGGAATCACTGATGAATACAAGTGAGTTAGGAATCACTGATGAATGCAAGGTGGGTTAGGAATCACTGATGAATGCAAGCTGAGTCAGGAATCACTGATGAATGCAAGGTGATTTAAGAATCACTGATGAATGCAAGTTGAGTTAGGAATCACTGATGAATGCTAGTTGAGTTAGGAATCACTGATGAATGCAAGGTGGGTTAGGAATCACTGATGAATGCAAGGTGAGTTAGGAATCACTGATGAATGCAAGTTGAGTTAGGAATCACTGATGAATGCAAGGTGGGTTAGGAATCACTGATGAATGCAAGATGAGTTAGGAATCACTGATAAATGCAAGGTGAGTTAGGAATCACTGATAAATGCAAGGTGAGTTAGGAATCACTGATGAATGCAAGGTGAATTAGGAATCACTGATGAATGCAAGGTGAATTAGGAATCACTGATGAATGCAAGGTGAGTTAAGAATCACTGATGAATACAAGGTGAGTTAGGAATCACTGATGAATGCAAGGTGAGTTAAGAATCACTAATG